AAGAGGTGGGGATAAGAAGAAGAGTTCAGCGACTTCTTTTGTCGCGTCGGGTCTTTCGTCCACTTTCGTACACGAGGAACGTATAAAATCCCTTTTCGCGAAACACCCCTCATAAACTTTCTTTCCTACGTCCGCTATCTTCGTATCGCCATTCAGTTTCCCTGCCCCCAAGCCGGGAGCTGTGGCTCGCTCGCGCGCGCGTGCATGCACGTGGCTTGCCGGAGTAATAATGTATACGTGACGCCACTACGACAGGCTCGAAACGTCGGCCTGTAGATTTTTCCGCGCCTCGATATGATTAATATCCTTTCGAGATGGAGAAGGGTGGGTGGGTGGTGGAGAAGGACGAAGATGGGAGAAAGGGGGAGAGGGGTGGAAAAGTGGAAGGTAAACTGGAACGAAGAAAGAAGTCAGGGAAGAGTGGCGGAGAGAGGGGAAGGAGAGAGTGAGAAAGAGAGAGGCAGAGAGGGAGAGAGGGAGAGGGAGAGAGGGAGAGAGAGAGAAAAGTGTGCGGTCGGGAGGGTGGGGAAAAAAAAAAGGGAAGGACGAAGGAGGGTAGCCGAGGTAAAAGGGAACGGTTATGGGCCTGGTGGTCGGTCGCCGTACAGCAAATCCCCGTCAACCGCATTCAATTACGATGTTATCGCGAATACAGATGACGGTTATTTCCTTCGGTACACCCTATACGTAACGTTCGCGATGCGGCGCGAGGCAGGCCGACGCCAACGTCGCTTCTCCGTCCAAAGTTAAGGCAGTATATCGTGTAATGGTGGGTTGGCCGCTCGCCTGTGTGATTGCTTTAGGATGCGCGCCGACAATACACCGGGATAAAGCGACTCCGATTTCGACCAACGACGGTTACGCGCGTCATCCTTCCGCCTCCGCTCCCCCCACTCCCTCCCTCCCCCCTTCGATCTGATATTACCTCGTTATTCCACTCTGGTCACCCTTCAATTTCACCGTTCGATTTTCCCTTTCTTTCCTCCACTTTTCCTTCCTTTCTAATTTCACGGACGGAACGAAAGCGTACGGATTCGAACGATGGAGTAAAATTCGAAATGTTGCCGAGCGATCGGGCAAAGACGCGTAAGATGTTTATTTTTAAAAAAATCGATACTCCAAGTTTATGGAGTTTGAAGAGGAGACCGTCGCGGATCGTCTCCTTCGAATCGTTTTTACGTCGCTTTTCGGTGGCACGGTTTGTCGAGCACGACGAGGCCGGCCCACCCTCCGCGTTTTCGAGCGATAAAACCTGAAATACGAGCGCGTACGCCGCTCGAACTTCTATTCGCCTCCGAACCGAAAAAGGATGTCCGGATCATAACACGCCGCGCTCCCGTGCACCCCGTTGCCTCCGTGAGTTACTTTACACGCTCGTTTCAAAAGGAACCCCCCACACTCCCTCGCCACCTTTTCACCTAGCCCTCGACCTCCTATTTCTCTCTCTCTCTCTCTCTCT